AGTCAGGTTAACTGAAATTATTGTTTTTATGGTAGTATAGAATTCAGACAATTTTAATTACCTTTTATTTTCCTCCCCAACAAAATAAACAAACTCATATCCCCACCCCACCCCACCCCACCAAATCACTGTAACCTAGAGGAGCGATCAGTAGAGATTATATTTAAAGTTTAGTTGTTTTTCTAATATAAAATCAATACTGGGTACACTATTATAAAAAAAAACTGACATCCCCACCCAGGTTACTGTAACCTTGTGAAGTGATCAGTAGAGATTATATTTAAAGTTGTGTTTCCACTATAAAATCATTATTTATTACAAGCCTAAACACTGATTATCATAAATATCCCCCATGCCCACTCCTAACTCTTACAAAAAAAAACCACCCATATCCTCACCCTACCCAACAAGCATCAGGTCACTGTAACCCCTACCCCAACCAAATGAACAAACCCACATCCTAAGCCCACAGCATCAAGGTCACTGCAACCTTGAAAAGCTGTCAGAATAGTTTATATTTAAAGTAAAGTTGTGTTTGTTACACAAAATCATGATCAAATGCTGGCCTTAAAGAGACAGATACACCACTTTTGACCAATCATACTCTCAGAAACAGGAATATTTTTTTTTAGCTAAGTTGAGCCTTCAAATCCATGTGTGTCCAGATTTAGTCGCATTTGAATGTTAAAATGATAAAAGACATATATAGAAATAGGGAGTATTTTTGAAAGAATAATGAATTATACCTGACTATTTTTATTATTTTCTATCCTCCCTCCCCCACCAACCCAACCAGCATCAAAGTTACTAGAAAAGCTATCAGAATAGTTTATTTAAAGTTATGTTTCCACTATAAAGTCAATACAAAATTAGCCTATAGCAGTACTATGACTAATTACCCTACAAGCAAGCCCATATCCCTCACCCACCCAAATAAAAAACCCAGATCCCCACCCTACCTCACCAGGTCACTGTAACATTGAGAAGATATGAGTATAGTTTATATTTTAAGTTAAGTTGTGTTTCCAATATAAAATCATGGTTAACTGCCTGCCTATATACAGACTATTACAATCATAACCCCTCCCCCATTTCTATAAAAGAAAAACTGGGATCCCCACCCTACCCCACTAGGTCACTGTAACCTTGAAAAGCCATCAGAATAGTTTATATTTAATGTTAAGTAGATTTTCCACAATAAAATCAATACACTATTAGCCTATAGAATAACTATTACTAGCTATTTTGTTTTCTACCTCTCCCACCCTTATAAACAGGCCCATATTCCCCACCACCACATAGGCATCAGGTCACTGTAACCTTGAGAAGCTATCAGTATAGTTTATATTTAATGTTTAGTTGTGTTTCCAATATAAAATCAATACACTATTAACTGTTGTACACAGATTAAAAAATCTTAACACATCTGATTACACTTTATCAAGTTAGTGTCACAAGATTGTTAAAGCCCAATTTATAACAAATTCTGTAACGACCTTTTCATGAAAACAAACTCTGATTTCCAACAATTTGGACCAACTTTATCTATTAATACTCCTCCTAGGCTATCTTCAAATGACCATTGTCCACTAGAAGAACCATGAAGGCTTTACAGTAAACATATTACAATGGTGTAGGGCTAATTGGACAGGCATTTTTCAATTCGTTGTTACATTTTTTCTGGGATATCCTAGCTCTAAGATCGTTTTCAGAATATGTGGCCAGGCAATTTCAACTTTAAGCAGCATATGATTATTCAAATTGACATATCTTGCAGAGTGTCCACATACATAACAATGTTATTTTGGTATTTTTCTATGGTATGTTTTTTCTGAAATTTGCCCAAGCAGTTAATAAGAATGAAGTAATTTAAAATCTTGAGACAAGTAATTTGCTGAGAACCTGAGGATAGGTTATATATAGAAAGTTTAATACAATGTTTTACCCTTGTGTTCACATGAATTATATATAAACTCTACCTTAATGAACTATTGTCAAAACATTAGAAAACAATTACAATTCACCTAGACACATTAGAAATTGGTTCTTTGGAAAGTAAATAGTCTGTAAGGACGAAATTTTACAACTTTAACACAAATAAGACCCAAGTTCAATTTAACAGAAGCATAACATTTAAATATTGATTCAACCAGGCATTTTATTACTCTCGAAGGTATATTTCTTTAATTGCTTGTCAAACAGAACTCAATTTCAGCTTTCTATTGGTACATTACAGAATTAAAATATGACACCAAATTATTCTACATTTGAGTAAAAAAAACAGATTAAACAGTTAATAAAAGGAATAATAATGTAATTTCAGCTTAACTTGGTGGGTTTTAATGTTATCTGCTGTGTTTACTTGAAATATTTTATTCTATGCATTGCAGCTGATCACATTGTCAGAACAGTTGTAAGATCTCTACTGAATCTCAACACCTAGTAAGATATAGGTTTAACCACACTGTCTTTTATCTGACAATAATTAATGAATGAATAAGATTCTATAACTATAAGAGGATTATGGAATTTCTTCAAGACGGAATAATCAGCTTTGGAATTGACATCAAAGTCTGCTAATCTGGCCAACATTAACTATCTTGGTAATAAGATCCTAAACTCTCTCAGCTCTCTCAGCATTCAAGACAACCTAAGCTCATCTTTACCATCATTTAAAGGGATTAGTCATTCAAAAATTTGACTAATGAGTCAATAGAGCTCAATTTTGACTTTTTCAGAATCAAGATTTGACACCAACTTCTGCTACAATTAAACAACAACATTGTACAAATGAAATGAAATGAATGGAGTTTTACGTCCTACTTTAACATTGTACAAGAACCAACGTCAGGTTTTAAACCTGCAAAGTGACACATAAATCCCTTTATTTTACTTCTTATTGTTACATAAAAAGCTGATTAAATTCTAAGTTACTGTAAAAAGATTGTCCACTCACATATTCAGGCCAATTATCACAATAATTAGTAATTTTGACAACAAACCCTAAATCTGTTAAAAAAAAAACAGGCTTGGTAATACCTTTAATGCATTTGAAACAAGATTCCAAACTCTCCAATTATAAATAGAAGAGATTTGTAACATGTCAGGTACAATAACCATCTATCTTGATTTTCTACTTAATACAGATTTCCGTGTCAATGACACGAAGTGTGTGGGTTACATATCAACCAATTGAAAATATATTCACAATCTGAGCAAAAAATTAGATTTTGTCAGCAAAAAATAACAGTATAATAGCCAGAACTACACATTACAGAATTGTTTAACAATGAAAATTGAAAAGATGCTGAATGATATTATCAGACTGAGTAAGAAAACAGCTCAGTTAACATCATGCATCACAGATCAGTCAAAGAAGTGTAACGAGTGAAATATCAAATTTTGTGTTAAATATATTCAAACTTTAGCTGACTACAATGAAAAACTCAATATTATATATTGAAGAAATTATTTTGCAATATACAGATTTTGGTCTCTTCCTATCCTCACTAAACAATGTCTGAATCAGATCACGTTTTCAATTAGGAAATTTCCCCATGTCACAACCCTTCAACGTTATCAATCATGACCCTTAGATACCAAATTGACCCCTGATTAAATTAGAATTGAGATTTGACACCTGACATCTTATAATTCATGACCTCTGATACTGTCATATGATTAAAGTACCTGTATCATAATAAAATAACATAATTTGGATGGAGTTTTACATCCCATTGTTTAGTACTGTAAATGTACTTGACCTCAAGTCCCCTGATTGAAAGAAAAGGTATATGACTCTTGTACTTATCTAATATATCTTGACCTTTAACCTTATGATATGATTATAGTCTTATACTAAGTCTAATACTGCTATCATAAGATTAAATATAGCTACTTTGATTTTAAAGGTTAACATTGTGAATATATGCAATATTGGTAAAACTAAGACTTATTTCAAAAGCAAATTTTGATGCCAAGTAAAAATAAAAAACACACTGGCTATTCGCACAATGCATGTTCTCTATGGCTATTAAGTGACTTTGTTAGGGTTAGGTAGTGATGGCCATATGTTTTTTAATTCCCATTTTTGTACCGTTGCTGTGCTAATAGCCACAACCAAAAAAAAATTCCAAGGCCATTCCCATATATGCATCAGGTTTCATGTGTAGTGGAAAAGTAAGACTATCTTTTAAAAGCAATGGCTCCAACTAAAATCATATTTTTTCACCGTATTATTTCATCATATTTGCATCATATTTCATGTGGATGTAACTTACCCTTGAGGGAAATACAGATAAATTCACAAAATGTCATGGAATCAAATCAAACTTTTCATTATCACCACAATACCAACAACTAATTCATTCACATTAATTCTTTCTCTTTAACACTTCAGTTAATCACTTGATCGCATAAATTTCCTATACTAGGCATTTTAAAAACCTGAGACTGGGGATGACTCATAACTTTCAACAATTATAATATATATTTTAAATTATGGCAAGACTCACAGGCAGGGACTATTTCCTTCCTAATTTATTAATCTAACATGACTTCTCTTCGATGGTGAATCACCTAGGTTGACTTGCTAATGTATAATAACCCTTTATTACCAAGGAAACATCTTCATAATGTCAAGATATTACAAAAATCGTCTCATACCTTGACTGCAATAGTCAATATTCTTGTATCACAGAATGCAGCCAATCAAAGTAAAGGCTGTAAATGTTATGGATTATTGTTTAAAGACTTTCTGTTGAGAGCTCTGAATGTCTGTATTTGCTAGCATACAATCCAATCAAATCACTCCTTTTACAAACTTGTGATCGAAGAAATGTGGCTATTGGTGTCAAGGTATAAGCTGAATGAAGGTCGTTATTGCTTGACATTGTGAAGATGAAATTTCCAATACTAAGCATTTTTAAAAACCTGAGACTGTTGAAGACTCATATCTTTCAACAATTATAATATATATTTTGAATTATGGTAAGACTCACCGGAGGGAAGTGTATCTCTCCAAATCTATTAATCTGAAATGCTTTCATTCTCTAAGATTGTCAACTAGAAACAGTGATCGTCTAGGTTGACTTGAGATGGTTTACTCTTTTTTGTAACATATCATCACGCCTGTAGGATGATGCTATGCTTAGTCGATATCCATGAATAAACATTAACTATGCAACAGTTCAATAATTGCTGGTGATTCACTACATCAAAGTCTCTCGAAGTCAATTTATATCAAATTAAAATACATCAAATTCTTTTAATATTTCATAATAACACCATTCATATATATCATATTTCTCATTAACATGTTAAAAAGATTTACAACAGGATTGTTTTTATATGTCATGCATTGATAGATGGTCCCAAATTTCTGAATCATTTCCGATATATATAGAAGATATATTGTTTCAAGGAAATAAATCAAGTTTAATAGTTTTTCCATAATAAAAATAGTAAGCAACATTAAATTTAGTCAAGAAATCGGCATCTTTTTAAAAAATTTGGAATCAAGTCCAAATATGCCCATATCTTATGCTGACATTGTACTTGAATGTGTTGAAAATTAAAGGAGCTATTGTGATTTTAACATTTAGAATCACAGGGTTAAAACAATGAATTAATCTTAACTAGAGGGAAGAATTAAATGAATGAATGTGTTGTAAATGATTAATCAATCAAGGAATCTTTTGAAATATATATTTAATATTTCATCCTAAAATGTGCTTACCTGTCTCAACACTACTTTCTTATCCCAGGTTTTAAAATATGACTCTCCTTTATTTGTTCAGTCTACGTGATATACCAATATACTATAGTTATCAAACTTTTATACTATCAAACTCCAAGGCTAGTGTTTCTATCGGGACACTTCCATCTATCTATGATAGTTCCAGCAACTGTCATCCAATATTAAACCAATTTTTCTGTGAAATTCTTCCAGAATAAATCAAGATAAAATTTCAGAGTAGTAGCACACTCTTTAAATTCTTAATTACCTTTGAAGTACAAAACATTTGATTATTGCCTTTAAATTTGTATCTTTATTAAAATGAAGAGTTACAATGTTTGGAATATGTTCAAAGATTAATTAACAAAATTTTATCATCAAATAAAATTTCATTGGAACACCACAGAAATAAGTGAATACACAAGCACATGTTACTTTAGTTCAAGCATAAACTAAATGTCTATTCCATCACAATTATGCAAAATCGCAACTTCCATCCCTAAATTGCAAGTAGAGGTGATTATATAAAACCCTACAGTGTAAAAGTCTAATGTAAATTATGACAGGTATTTCACAAGAAGGTTAAACTAGATATTTACTATAGGAGACTAGGCTATTCAACCTACACAGTATGATGTAATAATAAAAATATCATTCATAGAAAGTTACAAACTACCGGAAAAAAATGTCACTTACCACCTATCCTAATGTCAGATTTTTATGATGTGACATGCTCTGTTGACTAAATTCATAAAAGGAGATAGATTTCGATGTTTAGTGAGCCTTTAGTGCTAATATATATGATGTGATACTCTAATGACAACTTAATTATTTGGCGAGCCTTGAGTGCTCAAATATAGTCAAATGCTCTTATGACCGTATTCATAAAATACAGAATTAAATGGTAAGCCTTTAAGACATCCTAAAACTTTATATTTAGAATCTGAGACGCTATTGTGACAGAATTTATAAAAGGAGTGGAGTAATGTTATTTGAGGAACCTTTTCAAGATGTGATATATGATGTGACTTAATTCATGTATCAAACATGAGTATCAAATGAAGTGAATTACATAGTATTTGGTAGAAACATCCTTGTGCAATATAATATGTAGTAGGCCTATGTGACATGCTCTTATGAAGTCGCTATACAAGGAATTGAGTCATCTCATGTGAGATGCCTTTAGTGCACTTTTTCGTAGAAATTTAAGGATCTATAAATTTGATAGGTACGGCTTCTGATATCTATTGATTTAAAGTCAATAATTACTATATGAATCATATGTATCAGGTACAAATCAACAGCAGTTAATCAAACAGAATAAATAAATAATATTCATTTAAAAAAGAATTTCTTAATAAGTGAAAGATATTTAATATCAATTGAAAATAACTACTTCAAAAGAGCAAAAAAAAAATAAATCAAAATATATGGAAAAAGATATGAGAATAATATTGCTCAGTAAGGAATCTATAGTCATATGCATCATACATCAAAAATTATTCAAAGGAAATGCAAGTTTATTGAGTGTAAATCTGGTTGATTTACAATATAACTATTTAAAATCTGAAATATTTAGTAGAAAACTGTTGGAAGTCAAGCCAGTGAAATAATAATAAATATTCTTTCATCATTGAACTTCAACCCGCCAATGAGAACTCTCTTAATATAATAAAATTTGTGGTTGACGACCTACCTCCTCCTTCTCCACCTTTTTGATTTTTATTCTTTGTATTTGTGACATATTTGTATTTTTGGTGCATAAAAGGTTCATTAAGCCCAACTTGTTTATGGTATTTTCTAGAAATCCTTATTGCTTATTGTTTATTGATTGTTGTTTGTATGTTGTAATTTTCTATTATTTATTTGTGATTTCGAATAAATGGCAGCATCTCACTCAATACTGGTTTTGATTTGTCTTGGGAAAGGGTGAGGGAGGAATATCACAAAACCTATTTTGGTTACTGAAATGAATGAATGAATAAAAGGCAATCCACAAATGTATCAATGAATGTACCAAACTTGTTTATAATATAGTAGGTAGAATGAATGAATGAATGCCAATCAATGGATGATGCATGTTTCTGGGGGCACCCTTATTTATATTAGTAGGTGAAGTGAAGCTAAATCTTGAACCAAACAGCTATATCCCATCTTGGTATGACTGAATCTTTAAACAATGAAAGGTAAAAGTTCACACAAGTACAGCAATAATTCAGTGTCATTCTTTCATAATAGTGTTATAAAACACTCTGTTTTAAAATATCACATTTATACTATATATATATATATATATATATATACATTAAATATCAAACAGACTGTAACATAAATCTCTTTCTATCTCTATTTCTTGAGTTTAAAGGCCATAATTCGCCATTTTCAGGGATTGATTTGGGTCTTGTATATATGCAAATACTCTTTTAAACTACTAGAACTGCACAAAATAGCATGATCCCTTCAAATATATTTCAAATTAGATTTTCACTATCTTTTTTCAAAACGTCTTTTATAAAGTCTAGTTCCAAGAAAAACTTTAAGATTAAGATGATCATCCCTTTAAGTCTTCTATTAGAATGAATCTTTAATTATTTTGTACTCTATCTGAAGAGGAAGTAAAGATTAAATTAATCTAATTAAGAGAAACTTAATTAAGAAATGTTGTTAATTAGCTTACCTTTAATATTTTACCTGAAACACGTGTTGACCATAAAATAATTCTCTAAATATCTGCAAATTTGTTATGTAAGAGTTTTAAGTTAATGATATTAAGTGCATTCCATGAAATCAGAAATCTTACTCTCTAGTTTTTTTTACAAGCTTCCAAAAAGGCATCTTCCTAAATACCTAGTTTACTGTCAGGTGAAACAGACTCACACTCAAAAGGTTGGGTTGGTTGTGAAACTCAGTGGTAATTTATCCCCTGCCATCATCAATATATACCGTAAATTCATAGAATTTGTCAGTTTTCATGAGAATTTCTACATTTATCTACTCAGACAGTCCTTAAAGTGATTCAAACTCCATTAGCTTTTTAGTTGATCATAATTTCGGACCAAATTCACTATGTTACCACTGGAACCAATGATGCAGGGCTGTTGTAAGTTATATCCTTCGAGAAAACAAAGATGTCTAGCTCTAATATATTTATTACATGATATATATATTTAAATCAAAAATCATCTACTGGATGTGGACGTTATCTTATCTCTTTTCTGAAAAGTGCTATGGATATTTGTAATTCAGATCTATCAATTAGGTAAGCAAATATTCAGACGAATAATGTCCATTTACCCATGTTACAGAAAGTCCACAAATTGAATTAAGTTTTGATGGTTTGTTTGAACCATGTAAACATTGGCAAATCTGATATACAAATTTCACCTCCATACGACCCTACTTTAAATCCGCTTTAATAACAAAAAACACTAGAAATTGTACATTTTGTAAAAAAATAAACTCTGGACAACTGGACATAATAATCTTCAAAGTAAATCATGAACTAGTAAGATACAAGACCTTGAACAAGACCTTACAAAGTTCAAATACAAAAAAAAAAATCCTCAAATAGTTTAAGTAGTGTCAAGTATTAAAAAAATCACTTTCAAAGTTGATATAGCTGTTGATATAATTGATTGACATTTTATATAATAAAGGACAATAATTTGATAATCTTTTTCCAGGGAAAGTTTCTTATCATTCTCAGACATTTTCAAGATCAATCAACAGGCCTAAAAATTTACGCAATTCTCCGAATCTCATTCGTGTCAAGACTCTCATAAACCCCGTTCGAGTCAAAGTGTATGGTGTGTCAAAAACACGTATCTAAGATTGAACAACTTTACAAAGGGAAACTCATAAAGCATTCGGAGATTCGCAGATTGCATTTGCGAGAGTCCATCTGGATTCTCCTGGATTTGGACGAATTTTTAGGCCTGATCAAATAAGAAGTACATTAGATAACACCCCTTACATTGTGATTAACATAAAGGTATTTCAAACTTCAAAGAACGATTTTAAATGAACACTATATTAATCCTTCTATTTGTTTCAGATATCTCCTTGAACTTTACAGATCCCAGGACAATAGGAGACCATCATCCTATCCAAATCAAATGCTACATTTATCTCCCTTTGATGTTTCCCTATCAAATAAATACTTGACATTTTAATGTAATCTAGTATCAACAATACAAACTGACCATTTACAAATACCTTGTAACAGTGTACACGACTATGTAATATCTGGTATTTATCAATATCCTAATGATCAAGCTATTCAATTCACAAGCTGTCATAAAAATAAGGTGAAACTTTACACACTAAAAGGATAATTTGTGCTCTCTTAATTTATTTCTAGATGTCTAATCAACAAAAACTAATATTAATTCTTATCAACACATATATTGTATATTTTAG